ATTCCTCTTTTAGCTCTTGATGGGTTAGCGAAATTAAAGGTAATTCAAAAAGGTTTTTATGAGAAATGAGTGCTACATCAGGTAATTGTTAACCTTTCCAAAGATTACCTAAAATGTAACAAGATTCCATGTTTACAAAATAAATGAATAAACTAACAACTAACAAAAGAACACCAAGCCTATGAGTATATATAAAACGAGGGTATATTTTACAAACTTTTTAACAGTTTTCCAGCCGACACTCCTGAGTTGTGCACTCACGGCCTTTATAAATTGGTCCCCGATGCTCTGGTAATCCTGACTGTCATTAATTCTCAACAAAGAACCACTGAAGTTTAATTATATGGTGCTTTTGATCTTCAAAGCCCTCTCATAAACATTATCTCATTTGATTTTCACAACCCTTTAAATGGAGCATTTCCCTAAAGGAGGAAACTCACAAACAAAATGATGAAAGATCACAGGGTGGCAGAGATGGAACTACCATGCAGATCTTTTGGTTCCAAGACCACCACTCTCCATTCCAATCACGCCAGTCTCTTCTGGATTCTCCACTCCAAAACACCTTGCTGTGCCCCTATGCCTCTGATCTCTAGCTGGGACATTCTCTCCATCTATCCACCTCTTACCAGTCCTCCAAGAATTCCACTTCAAGGAAGCCTTAGGCAACCATTCTACTCTAATTAAACCTCTCAGCTGAACCTCCCCAGTGTTTGTTGTGTGCACGATTCACCCTGTCCCCTAATCAGATACAACAGTGGGCTGCTTCTTAAATCTTTAACCTGGACATGTGTTATTTCTCTATCTGGAATCTAAAGTTCTAGGAGAAAGAAATGGTTTCAGGCATTACCTTTGAATTGCCTATGGCACCTAGCATAGTGTTAGTACATAGTAGATTCTCAAGAAATACTTTTTGCATTGAAATAGAAAAAAGAAAATAGTACCTGAGGCATAAAGGATGATTATAAGGTGCAAAGGGAGGTACATAAGAATGAAGCAAACAAGTTCCGGTGAAAGAGGAAAAGGTAAAGAATGAAGAAGTCTGCAGTCATGAAGACAGCACTAGCAAATCTGGTGTGAGGACTGCAGTAGCCCAGACTCCCAAGGAAAACTTGAAAGACGAATTGTAATTGCTGCAGGCAGAGGACAGGAGGGAGTCACTTGAATGATGTGGAAAGAGCTCCAACGAATTTTTGACAACTCTACAGGGCATCTAATGAGTCGTGAGAATAAAGTGCTGAGAGTACCATCAACTATAAAACATCAATAAATCTATTACGTTTCTCAGGCGAGCCTTCAGAGGAGAATTACCTTCTTGGCAAATTACTCTTTGCAGGACTCCACACAAAATTCGAATCAAAGCTGATCTTGCCGGCTCTCAGATTAATCCAGTTCCCTTCCCTCTCTGCCCTCCCAGTCTTCCCACGCCTACTCGGTTCCATTAAAAATGCAAGCGCTTGGAAAACTTTATCAGCTGGTCTTAAACATGGCTTTCAAGTTTCGCGTAGATCTGTCCTCCCCTAGAGGCACTGAATCGGTTAGGTGACAGATCTTGGTTTTCCTACTGACCACACGATACGGACGCGACAGCAAACCCAGCGCCAACCCGTGGAGAGCCCAAAGCCGCGCAGCGCCCGCCACACCCCCGCTTCCCTTCCAACTGCTCCGCACCCACGGGGGAACCTCGGCGGCCACGGGGGTCGAGAAGGGCGCCAGCACCGACAACTCATTGGCCAGCTCCTGGAACTGACAGGACATGAAGCCAATGAGGACGCGGTACCGGGCCGAGGCCGCGTAACGTGCTTAAGGACGCGGGGCCTTCCAGAAGAGAACCAGCTGGGAGCAGGAAAATTCGGACTCTAGGAGCGCGGGAAATCAGGCGAGCGGTGACTGCGAGTCAGAGTCAGTGGGACCAGAACTCACCCACAACGACAGCGCCCATAACTGCATCCCCTAACGAGCCTTTAGGCTGGGCAGCAAGCTCGGTCTTCCTCCCGGTGACGAATAGAGAGCGACAGAGCCGAAGCCAGTGACCCCTAGAAAGCAACAACTTCCGGCACGCGGCATTATGGGAAATGGCTTTGGCCCCCAGGGTTCCCCGGGGCTGACGCTAGTTAATCGGCGCCTGCGCGTGGCTGGCGCCGGAAGTCCAGCCGCTGCTGCACCTGGAGTCTGGCTGTCGCTGAGTCTTGTCTGCTCGGAAGTAACTATGGGGTTATTTACATGCATCTAAAATATGGGTACCTGGTGGTGGTGGTCAGAGGTTGGGAGTTTCCTGGAGGGCTACCTTACTCAAATACATTACACCTGAAGGCTGGCGAAGACCGGAACATTTCAATTTCACACAGTTCCCCTAATTCTGTCCAGTCGACTTTTAAAGTTAAGTACGTTGTCTTAAACTAACCTTGCCGACGGAGGGTAAAATTTTCAAACATGTACTGTTTATTCGTTCAAAATAGGTAACGGCCAAGCCCTCTGCGAAGAGAATTAAACAAACAAGCCTCGCCGCCCTGGAGTTGTGTTATGCAGAAGATACAATGATCGGTGGGGAAAAAAGATGCAGATGCCAATAGAAAAAATAGGCAAGGGATATAAACAATTCACGATAAAAGAACAATTGGTTGTAAAAGATATGAAGAAATGTTCATCCTTATGAGTAATCAAAAGTAGGTTAAGAAAGTGGCGTCCTCAGCTGTCAGATCAGCCAGAGTAACGATGGTTCAACATGGGGGTGAACTGGCTTTCCTGCTCTTTATTGCTGATATAATAATTTTTTAAGCTGTCTTCACTCAGCACACAGGCATTATTTTTGTATTCTAAAACACATCCTTAGGGCTATTGTACCACCTGCTTCCTCTGCCTAGAATGTTGTTCCCCTTGATCTTCCGTCGTTGGTATCTTATTGTTATTCTGTTCACACGTTAAAAGTCACTTTCTCACAGAGAAATTGGCTGAGCAACCTAGGTAACAGCCACTCAATCACTCACATCGCCTTAGTTTACTACTCTGCCCCGCCCCCCCACCCTGATACATACACAGAAATGTGCAAATGTAACCTCTTTGAGAGATGGAATATCTTTGTCTTGTTCATGACTGTATCTCTAGTACCTAGAAGTGTCTGGAACATAGTAAGTACTTAATAAATACTTATTGAAGAAATATAGTCATTAGAAATTAAATGCTTGTATGAGAACGTTCATAACCTCACTCCTAATAGCCAAAAACTGGAAACAGCCCACATTTCCATCAAAAGAAGATGGAAAAACTTGGAATGGAAATACAATGGAATACTACTAAGCAATAAAAAGAAACTGCTGAGAGCCAGCCCTGATGGCCTAGTGGACAAAGTTCAGCATGCTCCAATTCGGGGGTCTGGGTTCCATTCCTAGTCACTGAACCACACAACCGGTCTGTCAGTAGCCATGCTGTGGCAGCAGCTCACATAGAATAACTAGAAGGACTTACAACTAGGATATACAACTATGTACTGGGGCTTTGGGGAGAGGAAAAAAAAAAAGAGGAAGAGTGGCAACAGATGTTAGCTCAGGGCAACTCTTTTCCAGCAGGGGAAAAAAGGAAACTGCTGATACTCACAAGAACATAGATGAATCTTTAAAATGTGACACTGAAAGGAGACTTACACAAAGTACCTACTGTGTAATTCCATCCATATGAAGTTCTAGAACAGGCAAAACTATTTTTGCTGGCTTGGCTGGGAACTGACTGGGAAGGAGCATGAAGGAACTTTCTGGGGTGCTGGTAATGTTCTATATCTTAATAGGGTTTGAGTTACACAGGTCTATGCATTTGTCAAAACTTACCAAATATACATTTAAGATGTGCATTTCATTTTTACTTCAAAAGAAAAACCTAAATAGTTTGACTCCTAATGTTATGCTGAAGTACTTAGGGAGAAGTATACTAATGTCTGCAATTTACTTAGAATTGCATCAAAACAGATGGATTGATGGATGGAGTAGATATATGACAAAGTTGGTCCAGTAAAATGTTATGATAGTGTCTAGGTCGGTTTCTTAACCTCAGCACTATGGACATTATGGACCAATAAATTCTTTGTTGTAGGGGGATGTCCTGTGCATTGTATGAAGTTGCACAGCATCCATGGGCTCTACTCATGAGACGCCAGAAGCACCCTTCCAGTTATGACAACCCAAGATGTTTTTTGACATTACCAAATGTCCCTGGGGAGCAAAATCCCCCCTCCTCCTTCCCTTTAGACCTGCTCCACTGCAAAATTTTCTCAACTTTGCTGTATACTTGCAATTTTTCATAAAAGTTGGACAAAAAAGTAGATGTTTAATTACATTGAAAAATGCTCACAAAACACCAAGTAGAAGATGCAGCTGTGAAGACCTATGTACTAATCTTGTTGTTGTAAAAAAAAAAAAAGAAAGGTTGTGGAAGTTAGCAATAATACCTGATACCAATGAATATCAGTGTTTACAAACATCTTACTGATTAGATTTCTAAAATGAATATGTAACATAAAGAAAAAAGTGCATTGCGTGTATTTAGATATCGAAGAAAAACACTGCTAATAACTCTCCTGTTGGAGTCGCCTTCAAACTGCCCTTTTATTAGCCGGGATAAATTTCTGTGCATTCACAGGGTCCTTCCTAAGGTCGACATGGCCACCAACCATGCTCACTCCTCCCAAATGCCTTGTTACTCAGTGTCCTTCAGGGACCAGCAGCATCGCTACTGCGTGGGAAGATCTTAGGAACGCAGAATATGGGACCCCACCGGCACCTACCGAATCCCGATCTGCATTATACCAAGATCCCCGAATGATTCCTCCGCAAGTTCGAACCTGAGGAGCGTTACTTTAATGGACCATTCCTTGACCGAGGAAACTGTGCTGGCTATACTTCTCCCTGACAGTAGCAGTAGCCAGGAAATGCCAATGGGGTAGAATAAAATCTCTGCAACTGAGAACGTTGCAGGGCTAAGGAACCCCGTTGCACGAACGCATGCCGCGACCAAGAGGTCGCTGCCGCTCGGGCTTCCGGGACGTGCGGCCCGCGAGCGCGCATGCGCCACCCGGGGAGGGCACTTTCTCATTAGCCCGGGGCCGCCTTGCGGGAGCGGTTTGTGGGCGTCAGGTTGCCTAGTCCTAGAGTTCGAGGCTCCCTCTGGATGAGAATTGAGCTGTCAGTGCTGCCAGGAAACCCGGGGTTACAGCACGACGGGGTCCGTGGCTCCAGGTGAGTCTCTGTGCACCGGTGCCCAGCAGGCCTGGGGGTCTCCCACGCTGTCGCTGCCTGTTCGACATTCGGGAACTTGACGATGTGCCGGCCCCGCCTCCCCACGCGCTGCGCTCCGCTCATTGGTTAGAGCTGGCGTCGGAGTTTCCTGGCGCCGCCCACAGCCAGGGATTCCCCCCGACCCCCAATGCCCTGTCAGTTGTTAGGGGCGACAGCGCCTGCGCGCCGGGCTTCTGTAGTGGGCCCTGGCAACTTTCTGAGTGTCAGGACTTGGGCAGCCCAGACAGGCTCGGCTCTTTAAAAAAAAAAAAAAAATCTGCAAGGAAAAAGAATGATTCCACTCTGGAAACTCAAGTTTCCTTATACGTTCTTACAGCATTCAGTGAAATCTTGAGTCAGAAAAGGGTTTTTTTTTTTGCACTGAAATCTTAAATGTTGGTTTTTTTTTTTTGGATTAAAATCTCATCTACGAAAGTAGTTTGACAAATAAATAACTGCCTTGTCACGTCACTCCCGTAGTTGTCCGCCCACAGGTCGCTTGGTCCCAAACTTCTTTGCTGATTCCATTTCATCTTCCGGACTTCCAAACTCAATGGGGCCTTCTCCCAACTTCATTCACTCCCTGGGTGACTAGACAAACATGCCTCTAAATAAATGCTGATAACTCCCAACGTTACATCTCCAGCTGGATCGCTTATAAACTCCATATTTGTACGTCCAACTGCCTGCTGGACATCTCTACTTAATAGGTGTCTTAGTAGGCACTTCACTACTTAGAATCTCTAAAACCAAGCTTCATGTTTCTACCATCTTCCCCATTAAATAAATGGCAAATCCATCCTTCCAGTTTCTCAAAGCACTGGAGTCATTCTTACATATCACGTATATTTCATCAGTAAATCCTGTTGGTTCTCCTCTTATGTCCAGAATGTGAACGTTGCTCTCCACCTCGACCATCACACCCTAATCCAAGCCACTGTCGTCCCTCCTTGTGTCATTGTAGCGCCTACCTGGTCTCTCTGCTTTCATCCCTGTTCCCCTCCACTGTTAACAGCAGGAAGCCTGGGCATCTTCATAAGTAAGTCAGACCCCTCCAGGGACCTTCCATATCAGTCAGGATAAATTCCAAAGTCCTGGCCATGCCCTGTGAGTCCCAACATAAACCGCCCCATTTTTCCTCTCTAACTTTGTCTCCTAAAACAGGTTAGGAGACACTGCCCCAGGCTCACTTGGCTCTAGCCACCTGGCCTAACACCCTCCTGCCCCAAGGCCTTTGAATCTGTACCTTTTGCCTGGAAAACTCTGTGTCCAGATAAGCACATGGCTTCCTTCTTCAGTGCCTACAATCTCTTCCCTACAGTCACCTTAGCAGAGAGGTCATCCCTGACCATCCCTCGCAAAATCGAACCAGCCCTCCCACTTGCTCCTTATCTTCAGTCTTCATAAGTTATCCAATGCACGTATGTATTTGTTTTTGTTGTCATGGTCTTCTCCTGCTAGATAAAATCTCTACGACAGCAGAGATTTTTTGTTACTTTTGTTCATATTATAGTCTTAGTGCCAAGGACAATGCTTGACATGCAATAGGTACTCAAGAAACATTTATTGAATGAATGACCCATAATAATAACAAGCACTTTTATAGCACTGATTCTGTTGCCAGGCACTGTTTTAAGCACTTTCCACACATCCTCATTTAATCATCATGGCAACCCTGTCACTCTCATTTTGGAGATGGGGAGATGAGGCACAGAGAAATTAAGCCACCTGCCTAGATTCACACAGTTGGTAAGTGGTACCTTGGCAGTCTGGTAACAGAGTGCATGCTTAAACCACTATGATCTAAAACCAAAGTCAATTCATTTCCTCTAATAACCATCTAACGAGTTGTTTCTTAGATTCCTCAACTCCAAAACAGACTAGAAAAGATATTTATGGAATTCCAATAAGTCCAGGAATTTTAAATATTTATGAAGATTTTTTTAAATAACAGAGCAAATGCTTAAGTTAGAATGTCAAGTTGAAATAGTAGGATATAAAATTATGTGAAGTCACTGGTTTGTAAAGAAAACATTGTGTTTAAAGGAGGGAGGAGTGTTTGCAGCTCTAACAGAAATTTGAAAAGGACTCAAAATGAAGATGGTGGGTAGCTTTGGCAATACTTAACTACTTAAATTGGAGTGGCTAGATGACAAAGCAGGGATTCCTGTTCTATGGAGAGGAGAGCTAATATCATTGGGTCTGGAAAAAAATGTTCTGGGGTCAGATAGGTTTGGGATACTTTGCAAACTAAACCCTCTTCTTAGAAATTCACAGTGCGTATTGGGATCTAACAATACAGACTCTGAGAAGTCACACAAAAAGTGTGCCTGTATAATTTATTGTCCAAATAAGCCAATCAGGACAATAGGATGACCCACGGTCACCCTAAAGAAACCTGTTGAGGGATCAGCCCAGTGGCACAGCAGTGAAGTTCACATGCTCCACTTTGGCGGCCGGGGGTTCATGGGTTCCGATCTGGGTGTGGACTGACGCACTGCTTATCAAGCCATGCTATGGCAACGTCCCATATAAAGTAGAGGAAGACGGGCACAGAGGTTAGCTCAGGGCCAATCTTCCTCAGCAAAAAGAGGAGGATTGGCAACAGATGTTAGCTCAGAACTAATCTTCCTCACCAAACAAAAAAAGAAAGAAAGAAACCTGTTGAACTTGGTGTCATTCAGCATTTCAAGTACTTTTTAACCATCAAGGGCTTGCTGCCTGATGTGCATAAAAGCAATACTATGGCAACTGCTTTTGAGAGAAGAAAGAGCTTTATTGCAAGGTCGACCAGCAAGTAGACAGGACACAGGGCTCAAATCTGTCTCCCCAAGCTGAAGTGGGGACAGACTTTTAAGGAGTTGGGAGTGGGAGCAGTTATGCAAAATACTGGCTTGGCAGAATCTGATTGGATGGTGGGAGTGCAAGGGTCTTATAAATCCAGTGTGCTAAAACTCAAGGGACCCCTAGCTTCTTATGAAGTTCCCCATGCCGCTTTCCCATTACTTTGGGTTCTGTAGTTAGGGAACTTTTGGTTCCTAGGCATCTCGAGGTCATCTGAGGACAAGGTTTCCATCTTCTGCACATGCTCCACCTATATGACTTGCAGTTTGTGCTCATTGCCCCTGCAAGATAACTTTCATATTTTGTTGTTGATACAAATTGATAAAATAGGACCAGTTTGAATTGCTTTATGATGATTACAAACATATTTAACCACAAAATGCTTTGTGCATTTTTTTTTTCCCAGCATGGCATTGACACCCTGGTAAACAGTGTTTTAAGGACATCAGTTGAAAATGCACTGAGATGAGGAACGATGGGTCAGCATTGATTTATACACTGATATGTGGAGACAGCCCAACATGTGCAAGAGTGCTTCATATTTTCCTGACTTGTGTCCAGTTAATCCCAATGAATTCAACACCCCACCACATTTAGTCATTCCCATAATCCTTGATGTGTTTTTGACAGGACCCATTGCAGTTATGGATATGTCACCTGTGAGTAATTGCATTTCTTTTTAGGTGGAAGAACGTTTTTTGCTGTTTAAAAGTACCACACAGCGAATGAGCTAAACTGTTGACCAAATACCATTTTCTGATATTAAAGAAATGATCCAACTATATTGGATGAAATAAAGACGACTTGAATAAAGGGAGAAACCTGTTCCTAGAGGGCCTGATAATGGATCATGCAAGGCAGCCTTTGCGAAGTGGATCCACTCTCACTGTGCTGGCATTTCATGCTACTGAGTCTGTGAAACTAACCAGATTTTGAACTGGGTTAAATTCACTCCATGAGTAGCTGTCAGGGTCATCAGCAAGCTTGCCTTCCTCCTGTGGGAACCTAACACGCCCCACTCCATTGTCTCAGACTGCAACACTGTTGCCCAATCACAGGTTATCTGAACTTTTTCCTGATAGATAGTTGGTACTCTCTTGCTTGTCTTGGTATACTTATATTAGACACTGTGTACGATCAGCTTGACAAGGTGGAGCACGAGTTGATGGAGAGACATTAGAGGCAGGGTCCAGGTAAAAGGAGTTAAGGTTATGGAAGGAAATAGATATACACTCAACTTTGAAACTTTGAAGAGACTGTTTAATAAAGGGGCTATTCACAGAAGCATGGCCAGATTTAAAGGAACCATGACTACACCTAGGCCTGAGGTTCTGCTGGAGCTGAGGAAGAAGGGCTGCCTGCAGGAGCCGTGGTCTTAGGAGGTCACAGCCATTGTCAGAATCCCGCCAAAGCAGGGAAGGAGTAGAGAGGAAATACCTTGGCCTCCTTCTCCTCCCATCCTCCCACTTCCTCCCAGAGCATTGGCTGAACCCAACCACGAGCAAGTCAGAAGAGTCGAGTGCTGTAGGCTGAGGAGGTCAGCTGTCCAGAGGCCAGGGCAGGGAAAAGAATCATCAAGAATGAGTTCAGGGGACAAACAGAAATAACCAGCACAAGAGAAAATAATCCAAATGATCAGGCCCTGAAATAGGCCTTGGTAGTTGGGGTTTTGAGGAAGGGACAGGTTCAGGTCTAGGCTATTTTTCTTTTGTTTTCCTGCCTCGCAGACCTTTCTTCTCTCTCCCCACTATCCTCCTCCTCCACTTGGCTAAGGCTTACCCTTCCTTCAAGGCTCAACTCAGATCCTTCCACCTTCCTCAAATCTTTCCTGATGGCCCATGTCTGTGATCATGCTCTCATCTTAATCCCCATGATAATACCTATACTGTCATTTAACACTTAGCCTTCTATCTTCATTGTTGTCTATCTCATCAGATATACGTCTTGATCCTCAAACTAAATAGAAAGCTTCAGGAAGGAATGAATGATGAAGCTCTACATATAGTAGCTGCTCAATAAACCTGTATGAAAGATGAGAAAGAATTTCATGGAGACTCCACTAACCTAAATATTGGTGTTTGATTTCATAGAGTAAATTCTTTTTGAGAAGGTAAGCCATGTTTACCTTTGGAACAATGGGATCAAGTTCTTTTTTTTCTTTTCAGAAGTGTAACCCTTCTTTTTTTCTGCTGAATTTAGAAGTACTACATGCTAATCATGAAACTTCAAACCATATAGAAGCATATGAATTAAAAAGTGAAAGTCCTTCCCTCTACCCACATTTAGCCAACTGTTAATAGTTTGGTGAATTCTCTTGCTGACTTTTTTCAGGTATGTGTGATGGTATAAGAACGAATAGTAGCATCATAATTATTTATATTGTTCTACAATCTACACTTTTAGGTAACCATATATCATGAACATCGATATCAATATACATTTTTTAATTATATTATAATATTCTGCTGTTTGTATATTTATTTATATTTATTTAAATAGTTTTCTGTTGCTGAACATTTAAGTCATTTCTGATTTTTTTCTTATTATAAACAATAGGCATTGAACATCCTTACAAACACATTTTTATACACTGTCTTACTTTTTCTTTAAGTTAGCTTCATACAATTGGAATTTTTAGATCAGTTTTCCTTATAGCAACTTTTTCCCCTATGGCAATTACCAGACATTAGCTCTTTCTTTTTTACTTTTTTTTTTTTTAATGCTAACTTGATAAATTAAAAATATCATGTTGGGGCGGACTTCCACTTTTGGGACAACCAAGTAGACGTATTTTACCTATCCTTCCTTCAAAGTACAACTAAGAATTCTGGACACTATATATAAAACAACTACAAAAAGACCCTGAAAAGTGGAGAGAAGAAGGCAGACCAGCTAAGGACCTTGGGACTCAAGGAAGGATGTGGTCATCCCTTCCCTGGGTATTCTTTTTTGCCACAAATATCCCAAGCTTGACACTGAAGAAGCAGCAACCCAGAAATACCAAGGGTACAAACCAAAAAAAAAAAATTTTTAAGCCCCAACAAAAGCCTGCTTTCTCTAATAAAGTACCAAAGAAGATGCAGCCCAGCAAGACAGAAAACATTTGGATAATAATTGGTCTACATCAGGCAAATACCACAGAAAACACTGTGGCCTCTCTCCCATCCACACCAGCAAAGGGAACCTCGAGTCCACCTTCACTGATCTGTAACAAGCACCTCAATGCCCACCCCTTGTCAGGAAGGTGTCAAAAAAGTCTGATTAGGGACCCAGGACTTTCCTCCCCACCAAGCAGTAATATCGACTTCACCACAGTCTCAGTGTCAGATCCATGTCAGGTCCATGTCAGACCACATGGGGAGCCTGTACTTCTACCCTAGTGCAGCAATAACAAGGGAGCCCTCCTTCATCCTGCTGGGGTGGTGTCAGAGAAGCCTAGTGGTAAGTCAGAACTTTCACCACCACCTAGCATTAACAAAGCCACCCCTCACCAAGGTGGCAGTGGAGGCCACCTAGGGACCAATAATGAGGCGCTCTTACTCCTCTCAGCCAGGAAGATCTCCACAGAAGCCTCCAGTGGAGCTGGAACTCTTATCCTCACCCAGCAATAATGAAGAGCTCCCTCCCCTCATCTGCTCACCTCAGATGTCAACAGAAGCTGAGTAGGGAACCTGGACTTCTCCCTCACCTGGCAGTAATGAGGCAGCACCCTCCTCTTTCCCTCCTGGAGCATTATCAGAAAAACCATACAAAAATGGAACATATAAATAATATCCAGAGTCTCATAACATAATACCCAAAATGTCCAGGTTTCAATAAAAAATAACTAGTTATACCAAGAACAAGGAAGATCTCAGACTAAATGAGAAAAGACAATCAATAGATGCCAATGCCTGGATGACAGAGATGGTAGAATTATCTGACAAAGATTTTTAAACACCGATCATAAAAATTTTCAATGAGCAATTACAAACACATTTGAAGCAAATGTTTTTCATAGAACCTCATTAAAGAAATAGAAGATATAAAGAAGAACCAAATGGAAATGTTAGAACTGAAAAATACAATAACCAAAATTAAAAACACCTTAGATGAACTCAACAGCAGAAGGAAGATGACAGAGGAAAGAAGCAGTAAACTGGAAGATACAACAATAGAAATTACCCAATCTGAACAACAGAGAGAAATTAGAGAGAGATTAAAAATAAATAAACAAACAAGAGTTTTAGGGACATGTGGGACTATAACAAAAGATCTAACATCCATGTTATTCCAGAAGGAGAGGAGAAAGAGGACTGAGCTGAAAAAGTACTTGAAGAAATAATGGCTGAAATTTCTCAAATTTGACAAAAGGCATAAACAGATTCAAGAAGCTGAACAAAACGTCAAAGAGGATGAACCCAAAGAAATCCACATCAAGACATATCATAGTCAAACCTCTGAAAACTAAAGACAAAAAAATCTTGAAAGCAGCAAGAGAGAAATGAACCTTGGCTATAAGGGAAAACAATTCAAATAAGAGAGTATTTCTCATGAGACACTATGGAGGCCAGAAGGAAGAGGCATAATATTTTTCAAGTGCTGAAAGTAAAGAACTATCAACCCAGAATACTATATCCAGTGACAATATCCTTCAGGAATGAAGGGGAAATCAAGATATTCTAGGATGAAGGAAAACTAAGAGAATTTGTCACCAGCACACCTACCCTAAAAGAATGGCTAAAGGAAGTTCTCTAAACTGAAAAGAAACAATAAAGGAATAATTATGGAAGAAATATCATGCATGAGCAAAAATATGAGTAGATAAAATGGGCTTTCCTTCTCTTGAGTTTTCTAAATCATATTTGATGGTTGAAGCAAAAATTATAACACTGTTGTGGTTCTAAATGTTTGTAGAAGAAAATTTTAAGATCATTATATTATAAATGGGGGAAGGTAAAGTGACATAAGGTTTCTATATTTCACTGACACTGGTAAAATATGACACCAGTAGATTGTGATAAGCTATATAGATTTGTGTGCATATATATATATAGTATTTAGAGTAACCACTAAAAAAGCTATGAAAAGAAATACATGCAAAAACATTATAGATTAATCAAAATGGAATTCCAAAATATTTGCAACCCACAAAAAGGCAGGGAAAAGAAAACAAAGAAGTGAAAAACATAGAAAACAAACGGAAAATAAAATGGTTGACTTAAGCCCTAACATATCAATAAATGCATTAAATATAAATTTCTAAATATTATAATTAAAAGACAGAGATTGACACACACACACAAACACACACACACAAAGAATTATCTGGTCCAAAATGTCAATAGTGCTGAGATTGAGAAACCCTGAACTACAGACTAGTTAAAGTTTAGACTCTAAACTTTCAACAAATTCATGTTTTCTACTGGATACCACACCACTGGTTTCCAAGGTACCTGGTGCTGACAGTTCTGAGCCTTTCCGAAGTTCTGCAGCTCCCCTCCCCACCTGACCAAGCAGTTAATAGAGGGAAGAAAGCTGAAATCTAAGTTATTACCCCTTTCCATCTTCCAAAATTTTGTTGACAGCTTTTATCTGTTATTTTCTCTCCCTTTCTCTTTGAGAATTTATTTGTTTACTCTCATTTTAATGGGGGTTACAGAGAGAAAGGGAAATAAATACATGTGCTCAGCCTCCATGTTTTATCACAAGTCCCCATACTTCTTCTTGCAAGTAAAATTAAAATCAATTTATTAAATCCTAAAAATAAAAAAGTCCTATTTTGATTAGCATCTCAGTAACCTTTATAACTTTGGAGTGGGGAAGACTTTTCTAACAAAGATTCAAAGTCCAGAAGCTATAAAAGAAAAGGTTGATGAGTTTGCTTACTTAAAAATAAAAACTCATGAATGGCACACATAGACACAAAACACCATAAAAAGACTGTATTAAGAATTGTTTTTAAAAAGGAAGGGACTATGTAAAAATTTTAAACTTCTGTGTGGCAACTTTCTGGAAGGTAAGTTGGCAATATGTACCAAAATTTAAACTGTTGATCCAACCTCTACAAACTTATCCTTGAATGTACAGTATTCAAAGTTCACCAAACTGTATATATAAAAAGAGCTTCCATTATATAAATGTTCATAAGAGAAAAAATGTGGAAACAACCCAAGTTCCCATCAATAGGTAAAGAATGCAATAAATTATGACATATCTACATGATTCAGTATGACAGTCAACCACTAGAAAGAATGGGATCACTCTGTGCTGACAAAGAATAGATCTCCAAAATATATTTGGAGGGGAAGGGATACAGGAGATGGGGAAAAAAGATATGTATATATGATCTTTTATGCATACACTTTAATTATGTATCCCACTCTCTACATTTATTTACATGTTATACCAGCATATATTTTCCATATATGTATATGTATAATGCTTAAAATGTTTTCTGTTTCTGAAACCCCAAAAACTCTTTGCCTTGGATCTGGGACTTAGGCAGGCAGGGGAAGGGACCATCAGCAGGAAACTATATCTTCATTTTTTAATCTTCCTCTACCATTTAAATTTTATAACCTTGTACTTTTGTTTTTTTTTTTGGTTAACATGCGTTGAGCTGTGAGATAATTAGCTTTTATTTTCTCTGTTTCATGTTCTTCTGCTTTTTAAACTAATAAATATTAAGTCAAGAGAACATAATTAACCACTCACATAAATAACCCTCTGACTTATTCTGTTCATTCTAGGTTTCCAAGGTAACCAGTTATAGCCTCTCTCCTAGCTATATCATTGATATGGCTTTTGACTACATAATTAGTTTACTTCAATGAAATTGCTCACTGTGATAGCTCAAGATGCCAGATCAACTCTCTAGATACAGAGGAATTTGGTGCCTGGTTATTATTCGAGTTTTATGGCTCTCTCTGGATTGGTCCATATTTTGAGTCCTTAGGATATTACACTTGAATGTAGAATAATGAGGAGATATTCTGATTAAATTTCATATTTTATGAAGCTATCAAATACATTTTCAATAAGTACCCATATTGATCTATTGAGTTCTCCCAAGATTGTATTTGTAAATTGTCTCTCTTCTCCTTACCTCCTTAGAAACTTACGGATATCCAAAAATGACTGAGACTGAGCAGGCAGAGGCCCAGCTCTCTGAGTTAGAGCTGCTAGCCAGTATGTTCCCCGGTGAGAATGAGCTTGTCGTGAATGACCAGCTGGCTTTAGCAGAACTGAAAGATTGTATTGAAAAGAGGACAATGGAGGGACGATCTTCAAAAGTTTACTTTACTATCAATATGAACCTGGAAGTATCTGAGGAAGCAATGGTAATTCAATTTTGCTTTGGGAAGAATTAAAACGTGTCAAGACTTAAAACAGCACTTAGGGCATTTTTCTTATTTTTTTTTTTTCAGGTAATGTTTTCTCTGGCCTGTATTCTTCCCTTTAAATACCCTGCAGTTGTGCCCGAAATTACTGTCAGGTATGTTACAGAAACTGGCCAACATTAGAAGTCAAAATTAATATGAGAATAAAAGCAGTTCTCAAGTTTGTTTTCTGTTCTAAGAAAATTTATTTAATTTTTTATCCCATATCTGTTCCATCAGATCAATATCATTAAGTAGATCCCAGCAGACTCAGCTGAACACAGATCTGACCACATACCTGCAAAAGAATTGTCTCGGAGATGTCTGTATATTGAATGCCACAGAGTGGGTTAGAGAGCATGCCTCTGGCTACGTCAGCAGAGACACCACACGTTCCCCAGCTCCAGGAAGCACAGTCCAGCCAGTCGATCTCATTCTCACGAGACTCTGGATCTATAGCCATCACATCTACAACAAATACAAAAGAAAGAATATTCTAGAGTGGGCAAAGGAGCTTGCCCTATCGGGGTTTAGTATGCCTGGGAAACCTGGTGTTGTTTGTGTGGAAGGCCCACAAAGTGCCTGTGAAGAATTCTGGTCAAGGTTTGCTTTCACAAATTTTGTGTGTCATGTCAATAATTTTAGTACTAAACAAGACACTAGAGATGTGGAAATTAGTATGTCCCTGGGATTGTATCTTATGGGGATTCAGTATCAAGTCAGTGGATAAAACAGAAGTTGCATTTGGTCAGTATCACTCCCTCAGCTGACACAGTCCACATAGGAGATGTTCTGTAAATAGAACTTACATCGTGCCCCTGCCCAAGATGCTGTGTACCATCCCCTCCATTTCCATGGATCTGATTCTTCCCTCATCTAGTGATGCTGTAAGCTGTGTATATACTCTGTGAAACAAGGGGAGTTCTAATCTTTTCATTTCTCTAGTGATATCCTAAATGAGGTTCTGAGATGTCCCTTCAGGAATCTGAGGTTCAGCAATTTCCACATTTCTAAAATGCTGATACGTGGCAGCGATAATGGCAATAGATGAGATTGGGATGGGATTATGACCAGAATCATGTTTGATTAAAATAAATCCCTGTGAGATAAGAATAGATTTCTTTACTTCTAGGGGAAGGCATTGATAAATCTGTTTTATAACTTCTTTTTTCCATGCCTGGGAATACACAACACATTTTCAAAATTTCTATTTGAAAATTTCTTTTCAGACTCAGAAAATTAAACTGGAAGAGAATTTTAATTCGCCATCGAGAAGACATTCCTTTTGATGGTACAAATGAGGAAATGGAAAGACAAAGAAAATTTTCAATTTTTGAAGAAAAGGTGTTCAATGTTAATGGAGCCAGAGGAAACCACATGGACTTTGGTCAGCTTTATCAGTTTTTAAATGCCAAAGGATGTGGGGACGTTTTCCAGATGTTCTTTGGTGTGGAAGGACAGTGACTCAGCAGAGGAGTAGTTGAAAGTGTTTTGTCACTGTTGGCCTTTTAATTTTTTCCCCACTCTCTTTTGAAAGACTAAGTAATTTTACTTTAGTCTCATTCTAGAATGTTAGGGGGAAAAAAGAGAAAAAGTAGTATAACTGAAATGCATCTGTTAAAAATATGTCATGATTGAAAGCACAACTGAGTTTCAAATTATAATCTTAAAATTGTTGATAGAAATTTCTTGACATATAAACTACCCATGTTGAAAAGAAAATTAATTATACTTGAAGATGATAATTCTGGTGGTCCAACGTGCCACCCATTCCCAACCCTCTTCCCCTTTCCCTGCCTGCACTAAAGAACCTGGAAAGCTAAATGCTCACTCTCCTAGCCTCCCTTGTAGCTAGGGGTAGCCTTGGGACACAGCTCTGGCTAGGGGACTTCAGGGAAAACTTTTGCTTTCTGGATTAAAATGATAGATGCAGCTAGGGCACCTCTTCTCCCTCTTTCTTCCACAAACACCAAAGTGGTGGCTGGAGCTGCAGTATCCTTTCAACACCAGGGAAGGACGGACCAAGAGAAGCACAGAGATGTCAGTCCCCCATGTTGCTGAGCTGCTGATCCAACACCAGCCCTTGCCTATCTCTAGACAGCTAATTATGACATAAAACTAGTTTTATTGAGATTTCTATGCCTGTTACTAGCACTTGAAAGCTAGTTTGCCACATAGACTTTTTTCCCCCAAGCTTTAATTTTGCATCTTCCCTAGCCATTTGATACACAAATAGGTGAAGTTTTCTAAACAGAGTCTGCAGTTCATCTCTATTTTTGTATACTTATGCTCTGCCTCTGCCCCTGGGCTCGTCTCACAGAAAGCTGAGGCACCAGCAGAGCTCAAATTTTTTAACAGGCCTTAGCAAATCATCAGACTGGTAATTTAGAGAATTTATTTTTGGCAAATTGGATTTTGACAAATTTTTCATCCTGGAAGTAGCTTTCTGTACATTGATTTTCAGCACACTGACCTAGAGTCAAATAAACACATGACTTGGTTTTTGAGGCTCTCCATAAATCAGTTCCAGAAATGCTTATTAAATATTTACTAATTGCTAGCACTTAGGTTGGTACCATGTGTTGGGTATTCCTTGGAGAGTCAGACTCGGTTAGAGTTATGGGGTTCAGAAGGGCACACAGTGCACTGTTTATCTTAGGAAAAAGTTGGAGGCAACCTATGTACCCATCACTAAGTGAATCAGTAAGTACAATATGGTACATATTATGCAATACTATGCAGAAGTCAGAAGGAATAAAGTAGAACTAACAAAGCAATGTGGATAGATCTTAAATATCAAGGTGGTTAAACACAAATAAGAATCAGAATGGTATTTATAGCACAGCACTATGTTGGATGTGAATCTTATGTACCTCCTCAGATTCCTTCCCTGCTGCCCACCTCCTGATCGCCCAGTCAGTTGCCCTGGAAATGCCATCCTTCCTGTGCTGCCACCACACAGCCAGGTGGACCAGCTGTTCATCTAGAGTTTCTGACTCCTCTAGCCACTTCCAGATTTGGATGAAATACCCTACAGAGCATGGGATCTGACATTCCTGGAGGCCCCTAAAGGCGCGAGATGATGCACAAACTACTTTTAGCTGGAATAAACTGCTAAAACTTTTTTAGCCTTTATACATTATTTTAATGAAAAACACCACATTGCTATGTACAAATATACAGATCACAAGTTTAACATAAAAGCATGGAAGGCAATAAAGTCGCTTTATAAGTATTCTTCCCTGAGACAGACCTGTCAAATTTAGACATTGGATTATTAAACAGTGAGCAAGAGAAGTACAGATTTTCCAACCTCATGACTAGTAAATTCCTTTGAAAATGGATCAAAGTATTAGTCATCAAAAGAGTAAACAGCAAGTCAGATGGTCCTGCCAACATTGTATAATGTAAGAGACACGATAAAAGCTATAAGAACTATAGTTAAATGTAGGCAATATAACTATTTTAGACTTTTACCAATGATTATATACTTGTTATATAAACATCCTTAAATGTAAGATTGTTCAGTATGATTGCATGTATATTTATTCCACAATGACAATTTGTCAATGTATTAATCTGATATACATCTTGAACCGGAATCATCTATAAAGAAATAATGATAAATCCTAAAAAGAAACTACCGGTCCCAAATCAAATTATGTTTAAAAGTTAAAATGTCTGTAAAAAACAAAACTGTTGGCAGGAAACATTGGCTACATGTCCACTTTTATTCATAAAAGTAATTCCTGTACAAAGAATAGTATTCTTAAGTAAAACAAAACACAATTTTTAAATTCTAACATTAATCTCACAAATTCAAATTAGGTGAACTTGGAGTAACAAAGTCAAAGCCCGTCTTGTCATCTGAACTTTAATATGATAAACTGCATCTGCTGCTATGCAGAATTGATTACTTTCAGCATTTATATAAAAACAGCTCTTACACGGTTTTGTCTGTGAGGTTGGTTTTTTTGTTTTTTGTTTTGTTTTGTAAAAAGCTGTATATCAGGATATCAGGGAAACCCAACAGGATATGCCACTTGTGAAATTCCATAAAAGCCGCAAGGCAGCCAAGAGCTTATGGCTTTTAAGGACAGGTGCCTGTATGTTACTTCCCTGTCCCCAGCTCCTCACAACAACGATTACAACTATTTAGGACAAACTAAGCTCATAAAAATTCTGCAAAGAGGCACAAGGAGCCTTCCAGTTAAACACAGTCTGGCAGTTTGATCCCATCCGGTCGGGAGGGATATAGGCGTTAATGTCCTTTGCCATCCCCACCAAAAGTCAAAGGCGGACCCTGCGAGACGCAGGGCCAGGCAGGCGAGGGAAGATTCCACTTTAGCATGAAAGGCGGGTGCCGGGCTACCTACAGACACCCTGGTCCCGAGCGGCTCCCAAGCGCTCGGGGGCTGCCACACCTTGGCCGGCTCCTACAACCCCCGCAGCTCCCCAGCACCCGACCGCCCCCCGCGCAGCGACCGCGCGCGGCAGCGAGGAGCGCCGGCACGCTGCACGCATGCGCCCCGCC